CATTGTCTCAGCCAGAGTAATGTTATATTGCAGTTAATGTTTTGTGAGGCTTTAAATAGTTACTGTAAATGAATGCTTTATCTGTTGATGCTGTATGCAATCTTGCACATGTTTTGTCGTCTTGAATAAAAATAAAGTGTTTTTTTTTAAATAAGTTCCTGGCTCTGTTTTTCTTTATTCTTTGCCAGAGACTCTTGATGACTCTAGCAATAATTTTTTTAGCAAGCATCAAACAGATCCCCAAATTCCTGCATTTCTATTGCAGGCATTTGCTTTTCTTTCACTATCTAAACACATTATCTCTGGGCCACAGTAAGACTACATGTTGGTAGATTTGGATGCCTTTTTATGCAAGCAAATTTCAGAATATATTCTTACTATTTCTTATTAGGTTTTATTTTGTTTTAAAGGAAAGGCAATCTGATTATTTCTGATCATTTTTTTACCTGATTCTTTAATATCAACCTTCACTTGATGAAATCCTTCTGACTTGGTTTGTTTTATTTATAAAATAGCTAGTTACTACAATTAGACAATGTTACAAATATGACAAGATCTAAAATAAGAACTTATTCAGAAACTAGGAAAAAGCAATTAATAAGTACACAAGTAGTAATGATATAAAGGATATTAGAATAGAATAACAGAGGTGGAAGGGACCTTGAGGTCATTTAGCCCAACCCATGCCCAAGTAGGAGATCCTACACTATTTCTGACAGATGGCAGTCCAGTCTTGAAAGCTTCCTGTGATTAAGCTCCCACAGCTGGTTGATTGTTCTCATGGTCAGAAAATTTCTCCTTATTTCTAGGTTGAATCTCTCCTTGATCAGTTTCCATCCATTATTCCTTGTCTGGCCTTCAGGTGCTTTGAAAAATAGCTTGATCCCCTCCTCTCTGTGGCAGTCCTTCAAGTATTGGAACATTGCTATCATATCTCCCCTGATCCTTTTCTTCACTAGACTAGCCATGACCAATTCCTGTAACTGTTCTTCATATGTTTAACCTCCAGTCCCCTAATCATCTTGGTTGCTCCTCTGTGCACTCTTTCTAGAGTTTCAACATCTTTTTTTAAAGTGTGGTGACCAAACTGGATGCAGTATTCTAGATGTGGTGTTAGTAAGGCTTTTTAGAGTGATATTAGTATCTCACATGATCTTGATTGAATCCCTCTGTTAATGCAATTTAGGATTGAATTGGCTTTTTTGGCTGCTGCTGCACACTATTAAATATGTTGTCCACTAAGACTCCAAGACCCCTCTCACAGTTACTGCTATTAAGCCTGGTTTCTCACAATATGTGTACTTTGGGGTTTTCTTGCCTAAGTGTAAGACTTTTCTCTACATTGAATATCATTTTGCTAGTTACGGCCCAGTGTTAAAGTCTGTCAAGAACCATTTGGATCTTGAGCCTATCATCTAGGGTGTTCACTATTCCTGCCAGCTTAGTGTCATCTGCAAATTTGATAAGTTCCCTTTCTATTCCTTCATCTAAGTAATTTATGAAGGTATTGAAGAGTCTGCGCTTAAGTACTTTGTGGTACCCCACTGCTTACTTCCCTCCAGGGCTACTCATTGAGTATGGTTTGTCAGCCAGTTACAATCCATCTGATGATGATGCTATCTATCCCACTTTCTTTTAGCTTATCAAGAAGTAGGTTGTGGTCTACTCTGTCAAATGCCTGGCTGTCTAAGTATATTATGCCCACAATATTTCGCTGGTCTACTAATTTAGTCACCATGTTGAAGAATGAAATAAGATTGGTTTGGCATGATTATTCTTAACAAACCCATGCTGACTTCTACCTATTACTTTGCTCATTTCTAGATGTTCACAAATCTTTTGATTGTCTCTTCCAGTATCTTCCCAGGTACTGATTGGTCTGTAGTTTCCTAGGTATGGGTTTTTTTTTCCTCCCTTTTTTGAAAATGGAACCACGTCAGCTCTTTTCCAGTCCTCTGGTAGTTCCCCGGTGCTCCAAGATTTTTGAAAGATATGGTACAATGGTTCTGAGATTACCTCTTCCAACTCCTTTAGAACTCTGGGATGTAATCCATTGGGTCCTGGTGATTTGTATTCATCAAGATCAGATGGGTGTTCTGTCAGTTCAGAACCTGTTTAACCTTTAACCTGTTCAGTTAAAGCTTATTTTAACTTTTATTTCTAGTCTGTCTTTTACAGTTATGTTTTTGATAGGTTGTGCTATAGTTTCTTTTTGGGTGAAGACCAATGCAAAGAATGAGTTAAACATCTCTGCTTTCTCTCTGTTGCCTGTTACTTCCTTGCCATTTTCTCTCTTTAGTGGGCTGACTGTTTCCTTGATTTTTTTCTTATTATTTATATGTTGAAAAAAACTTTTTTTTATTGTCACAAGTCTTTCTTTATTCTGAGCCTTTGCTTTCCTGACTTTATCTTTGCAGATTCTGGCTATCTGCTCATATTCTGCCTTAGTTATGTGTCCCTTTTGTACTAGCCTTTGTTGTCCTTTAGTTTATCAGAGATATCTTTGTGGATTTCTTATTTTTCTTTTTCAGTTGTATTGTGCTGGACTGGGCTTTTATGATCATATTTTTCAGTTTCCCAAGATTCTTGAGTTGTTGTCCCCTTTAGGATTCTCATCCAAAATTTTTCATCCAAAATCTTTCCAAAGTTTTCTCTGAGTTTGTTAAAATCAACTCTTTTAAAATCTAAGACTCTGATATGATTGTGTTTTATTGCTTGTATTTACATTATGTTGAATTCCAGTATGACATGGTCACTCTCACACAACGCCCCTGCAGTTTCAACTCCCTTTATAGCTTCTTCTCTGTTTGTGAGAATTAGGTCCAGTACAGCTGTCCCTCTAGTTCCCTCTTCTACATTTTGGACAACAAAGTTGTCACCTAGGTTTGTCAAGAACCTATTCAATTTCTCACTTAGTGTAGAATTAGTCTTCCAGTTGAAATCAGGATAATTGAAGTCCCCCATTGTAGTGTGTTTCCTACAAATATT